GCAAGAGATGCATTTCTTACGGGGAGTCCTCTTAGACTAGAGATGGCATGTTCCTGCAATCTGTGATCCAAGAATGCTTCTAAATCTGAATCATATATACATAATAAATAAAATAACACAATATGTAATATGTAGATATAATCATATATACATATATAATACATAAATACATATTATTATTATACATACATACATAGTGTGTGTACATGTTAATACATAAATACATATTATTATTATACATACATACATAGTGTGTGTACATGTGTCTGAAAGAAGAGAAATAGTCGATTTTTCCCCTGATTATAAACATGGCACATACTTGTAAACAATTCAGTTTGTGCAGAAAAGTATAAAAAAGCTTGTAAATCTTTCCAAATGGTATCACATGGAGAAAGCACTGTTCATACCTCTGGTGATCAATGCACTATCTCTCTGTGCCTACACACACACACAGGTAATCTGGTCATGCAACTCAGCATTGATGGGATCCATCATGCACACTCACCCAGAGCCTGTGTTTTTTGCAACAATATGGCAGTGTGACAAATAACTTTCCATAAATCTACACACTTTTATCATAATGCCAAATGTAAGCTCTAATTACAACTGATAAAAGAACATAAATGGAACATCTACTTTATAATTAAAGCTTGATGTATATTTTAAAAATATACAAGACAAACAGCAGTGTATGAGGCCTTTCTGCTGATCCAGGAGCCTGGGTATGTCCAAGCAGGCCAGGAGTGTGCTCGTGGACCATCAAACATGTCGGGAGGTTATGGGGTGGAGACAGAAGGGCTCAGCAAATCCAGCCATGATCTCTTTTTATAGTGCTACCAGTCTCTCTTGTTTTTTTTTTTTGTTTGTTTGTTTCATTCTTTACACATTTTAATGGTCCTATTTGCACTTGCCTTCTGGACCATGCGGGGAGTATATAAATTCCAGATATAGCAGCAAAGAGCCACAGCCTGGGCACAAAGGAGTGTATCCACTGGGGGTGGGCATCCCGGGGACGATTCTTTGCTATCCTGTGGGGGTTGAGTCCCTCCTATTCCAGTCTTCCCAGTGATCCTAAATGAGTCAGAAATAGGCATTTATATTTAAAATCTCTTCGTTTTTAAATGCAGGTAACTACTTTTTTTTTTTTAATCAAAAAATGAAACATACTGGAGTTTTCTTTGGTTGTCTGGAAGCCAGTCTGAGATCTCTGGTCTACAAAGCCATTTGTTTGTATCTATTCAGTCTAATTTGGTTCTAAAAATATTRACTGACTGCATCAGTCTGTGTGGTGATCACTATGCAAAAGAATGGAAATATGAAGATGAAAAGTTATGATCCGTGCTTTGAGTGAGGCAGCTCATAGTTTAGAGCAGTTGTTCTCAAAATTTGATCCCAAATCAGCAGCCACCATATTGCCTGGGAACTGATCAGAAACGTAGATTCAGGGGCACACACCAGACCCACTGAGTCACAAACTGTATTTTAACAAACCCTGGAATCCGGGTTCTAGAGCGAGCCTTTCCAGTGGTTCTGATGCTTGCTGAAGTTTGAGAACCACAGGTCCAGAAGGGAGTCAGATGTACAAGCAGAGGTGTGGYAKGAGTCAGGGAGGTTTTYCTTTTCTTTCTTATTCTTTGCAGGGTTGGGAATTGAACCTGAGGCCTTGCGCRTTCCAGGCAAGTGTCCTACCAGTGAGCACATCTCCGGCTCCTCAGGGAGGTTTTTCTGAAGTGGACATCTCTGCCTGAATCTTGAAGGATGAGTCGGCATTGGTTGGGTCAAGACAGGGAGGAGTGTCACGGGGAGATTGGCAGCAGAAGTGTAGTGAGGAGGGGAGAGTCTGTCAAGGGCACATTTGGGAAATGCGTGCAAGTGGCTACTAAAGCCACTCTGGGAAATAGAGATGCTACAGTTTGACTCTTGTCTGTCCCTGAAGGCCCATGTGTTAAAGGCTTTGTCTTCAGGGTGGTGCTATTGGGAGGTAGTGAAAGAAATGGGACTTCATGGCAGGCCTTTAGGTCACTGGGGGTGTGCATTCAAAGGGGATTGTGAGACCCTAGTCCTGTCCTCATTTTCTTTTGCTTCTTGGCAAGGAGGTGAGTGGTTTTGCTCCATCAAACACTCCTGCTACCACCATCGGGCATCTCCAATCAAGGCATAAAGGCCATGAGTCTGTCTGATCATGGACTGGGACCTCTCAAACCATGAACAAAGACAGACCTTTTCTCTTTATGAATTAATTATCTCAGGCATTTGTTGGGATGGGAAGCTGACTGACCCAATATCGGGGAATAAGTTGGAATCAGTTTTTTTTTTAATTTTTAAAAAATTCTAATTAGTTATACATGACAATAGAATGCATTTTGACACATCATACATAAATGGAGTGTAACCTCTCATTTTTCTGGTTGTACATGATGTAGAATGACACAGGTCATGTAATCATACATACACATAGGGTAATAATGTTTGATTCATTCTACTATCATTCCTATGCCCATGCCCCTTCCCCAACTCCCACTCCCTCACCCCTCCCCACCTTATTGTGAGTTAGCATTCACATATCAGAGAAAACATTCGGCCTTTGGTTCTTTGGGGTTGGCTTATTTCACTTAGCGTAATATTCTCCAGTTCTATCCATTTACTGGCAAATGTCGTAATCTCATTCTTTAAGGCTGAGTAATACTCTCTTGTGTACATGTACCACAGGTTTTTTTTTTTTTTTTATCCATTCATCCGTTGAAGGGCACCTAGGTTGGTTCCATAGTTTAGCTATTGTGACTTGAGCTTCTATAAACATTGATGTTGGAACCAGATTTTTGATTCCAGGCCAAGTGAGCTGGCTTGTGTCTTGTAGGTGTTGGCACATCCCCAGAGACCTTTTAGGAAGTTGTGGCATCAGGTCTGCATGTTGGAAAATAACACTGGTAGCAGGGTTCATGTTCCTTCTGGGTAAGGGCAACTCTGCTGGTACCCTGCTGGCCTGGATCTTGATTCCTGCCTCTCCTGGCCTGACTTGGAACTGGGTCAGCAATTCCCATCCATGGACAGAGTGTCAGGTGGGGAGGTCCCCGGCTGAGTGGGACTTCATGGGACATCTTAAGGTCACTGGGGACTTTATGGGGCTCTGGGAGAACCACACTCCCCCAGGTGGGTGCTCGTGTTCTCAGCCATTGCCATCATCTCTGTAATTTTGCATAATTAAGTGCAGTCCATCAGTTTCTGCAGCAAAGGTTTTGAGAAAAATACCCCATTCTATTATTTTCTTCAGAGATCTATGGTGTCGAAAGAGGAAACAGCTGAACTCAGGGATCCRGGGAACTCAGGTCTATAACTAACCTGGACTTGTTTCTCCTCTTCCCCTGCCCTTTTCTCCCTTCTTTTTATTTTATTTATTTATTTTTTGTTATAACTTTGATTCTAGAAAACTCCAGAGAGTTATCCAAGTTTTTCAAGTGCTCATAATGCCTCTCAGACTTAGCTATGATAATTTCATGCAAGGATGTGAAATTATGCCTAAAGACTTCTCCTGGGAGAGCAGGAGGGTGTTCTGAAGTGTTTCAGAAGTACCTCAGCTTGGAGGCAGGAATATGAATGCAAATGATTTCCATTCAGGTGGCAGTTCCACAAAAGGCTTTAGGAGACAAGAAAACACTAATTTCTCATGGAGCACCTGGGCCCTTTTTTGAGTTGAGAATCCTTTCTTCTAAAATGTATTTGGTCCAGAGCCTAGGAATCTGATCGGTCTCTTTTTCTGTTTAGAAATGCCGTGGTGTGGGAGATGACAGCAGCTGGATGAAGTGTCACCTCCCCCTGCTGGTCAYTTTTTGTCTAATGTCATGTTTGTAATATACAAGGAGAGTGGAGACAGGAAGAGACAGAGGTTGAGTTCATTAATTTTTTAAAAAAAGTTGTCCCAATGTAGTCAACGTTTAATGTTTACCTTTGTGTGACTGCCAAAAGAATTTTTGTGACTCCTTTCACTCTTTGCAAAACGATATTCAGGAAGTTGATATTTCTTTTGTCTTCCTACTACAACTTTTTATATAATAATTATTATACCAGCTATCTTTTATTCTGAATATGCATTCATTATTTTTTCCCCCTGAGCTAAAAGGAATGGGGTTCTCCTGTTGGTTGCTTTGGATATATATTCAAGCAGATCACACATATTTCTGTCTGTCCTATTTATACAAAACAACCATAGTGCCATCTTTATGAAAATTAGAAGTGAACTTAAAGTGAGCAAAACTAAATAACTGAGTTTTTTTAATCCACAAAGATGGGTTCATAAATTACAGGGAAAATTAATTGTGACTCCAGGTACTAGATGGAAAATTATAGCCAATTTTCTAAGGAGGAAAACTGCCCTTCAGAGAAATTTTATGACCAAGTTTTTCTGGGCTAGTTCTCTGGAAAGTTTTGTCGATTCCCCTTTATGAACTCTCCTGTTTGTTAACATCCAAATTTAAGACTTTCTAACCAAACACAACTTGGTCATTATCTTCTGAATCCCTGCCTTGGCTTTGCCCCCATGGATCTAAGAACACTGGAATCATTTTAGGAGTTTGGTGTGCTTTTGTGTGTTGAGGGACAGTCCCATCAGAGGAGGCCCAGGGTCKAGGATGTCCCTCATATGGAAAGTTGGTACATGTGCTTCTTACTAAGCAGATTCAAATCAGTTACTTTCTCCAGGCATATTTGACTAGATGTCATTTATGATCTCTCCAGTTTATTCAAATGTTCTAATCAAAAGGACTGAAACATTGACCTCATTTAGGAATTGAGAGTAACAATGGAAATCTAGAAAGGGTAAAATTGCTTTTATCTACTTTAAGGCTCAAATTTATAACGTTGCAGCATCAAGAAAAAAGCCTGTATCTTGGTATCTTGGACATATTCTGTAGACATACATGATGCCTTGTTCTTTCTTTCTTCCTTTTCTTTTCTTTTTTTTTGCATACTTTGTTCTTAATTGCATGTCTGTTTTTTTTCCCTAGTTGCAAATGAAGCTGGAGATAAGAACGCTAGACCACTTGCCCGCTTCTCCCGTGAGTAAATCTTATTTTACTAATTTCCTGGGCTCCTTCAGAATCTGTTATCCAGAGGCCTTTGCTTACATGGTTCACCCCAATAATCTGGTCTGGTGTTAACACAGTTATGTCAGCAATGTCTTCAACCTCCACTTGAGCCCCATCACAGGGGACCACTCTGGGCTAGGGGCTTTTTGTTCCTCACAACTGTGGTTTCCAAAAGGTGCTCCAGGGCTTTGCTATCCCAAGAATGGTCCTCAGAGCTTCAGAATCAACCTCACTTCTGCTTTTGAGGAACACAGAGCCTCAGGCCTCCCACCACGGATGTTTTGAAGCTGACTCTGTTTGAATAAATCCTCAGGAGATTCCTGTTCACATTAGGGTTTGAGAAGCACGATGCCAGGAATGTCCTCAGAGTGTACGCAGTGGGTGGTTCTGAATGAAGACACAGGGAGGAAGGGACTGTGAAGTGCCTCTAGCTGTCTGGGTCGATGCACATCTAAAAGCATCATCACCGCCTAATGTGGATTTTATGTACTTGCACCACCAGCTGTGTCTCAGCCTAGTGACATTTTTTTTAGTATTTATTTTTTTAGTTGTAGTTAGACACAACACTTTTATTTTATTCATTTATTTTTATGTGGTGCTGAGGATCGAACCCAGGGTCTCGCACGTGAGAGGTGAGCGCTATACCGCTGAGCCACAACCTCAGCCCAGCCTAGTGACAATTTGCAGCTCAGGTAGATGCAATGGTTTTCCTTAGATGCTGGGATATTCCTGAGGCTGCAGTCAGCCTGGGGTGTTTCCCTCAAGTCCTCTCTCCAGGTCTTGATCTCAGTGGGGGAGCAGGAGTCAAAAGCCTCCCAGAAGTTTCTGTGCCAGTGTGGCCAGCAARTTGCAGGGCAAATGATCACCCTCCCTGGAATGAAAGCCTGGATTCCACAAGGGTAGYGGGAACACCAGGGATGGAGTGGGGGGCTGGGCAGAGGTGCTCCCCAAACCTGCTGGGCCTCCAGTGGAGGAATGGTTGAGTTGGAAATCAAAATAGATGCAGTCCACCCCCAGCTCTCGTTTTCACTTGGTGCAATTTTACCTACAGTTTCTGGGCTTCGGTTTTCCCAAATGGAAAACAGGGAAGTTATTAAAAATGTTGCCATCTTTTGAAATCGCGGCTTGAGAAGAGAGCCACAAACCTGTCTGTGCATTGCTCACGGAGGGTGGATGATGTCTGAGCGTGACASGGCCGGAGTGAACCCTCAAACATAGAAAGTATGATTTCTCAATTTCTCTCCATTTACAAGGCTTCTAAACTCTACCTACTAGCTTTTTTTTTTTTTTTTGGAAAGGCTTCGAAGTTTGGGATTGATTTCCTAGAAATGATTTTTATAGAGCTATAATAACGTATGGTAATGAAAGAGCACTAAGTGCTCACATTTTAGAAACTGCGTGATAAAACACCGGCTTCTCATGGGCTCTATTTTTCACTGTCCTCCTACCTGGAATCATTAAGTCCAAAATAAGTATTTCATCCCACAGCTCAATGGGAATGATGAATATGCATTTATTCCCTTTACTTTCTTATCTCTGGAGCAAGACTTGGGCATGTTAACAAGCTGGAATCATAGCTGACCCCGCAGGACAGCACTGCGCCGGGGTGGGCCCCCCATGTGAGTCCTGACTCGGTCTAGGAGGGAGCAGGGAGGGTCTTTGAACCCTGAGGCCAGAGTGAGGCCCCACAGCAGCGAGTCCCCTCACAGACAAAGGTGACTTCTCTGGTGAATGGTTTCTGTGACTTCTAAGCTGTGTGACTGAGTTTGAAGGATGATATGTCAGTTGAAAGCATCTTAGCTTGAGATTAGAGAGGACATGGGAAATAAAAAAAAATCTCTACAGGAAAAAAGTGATCAGGTAAACTAATTAGGTTGGGCTGATTCAAGTGGGGAAAAAAAAAAAAAAAAGAAAAACAATCTCCTGACTTGGTACGATGTCTTAGAAAGAAGTCAGTTGGTACATTGGCACATTACCTACTACATCTTTTTGTAGTAAATACTAGAGGGGAACATTAGGTAGCTTTTAAGAAGGAAAAACAAATTTCAATGTAACATTGTCCAATTGACACTTCACTTTATTACACTGAAATGAATGAAGTGTTCAGTTTGGGAATATGGGGAGGATTTGGATGATAAACTTTTCTTTGGAGACTAGAAAATGAAAAACTGCAACATTTTCTCATTTTTGCATCCAACAAGGCAGATGTAAAGCTCTTCCAATATGCATTGCCCAGTATGGATTTAGGTGCAATGGAAATGGTGAGCAAGACCCTCTGCTGCGATGACTGGATCCTTTCTGGAGGGTCAGAGAAATGCTTGGAGTGGGGAAGGAGGATTAATTGGTTGTGCTGATGGACCCTGTAGAGTGTCCTGTCAGTCTCTGTATYTTATCAAAGGTCCTTCCACTGCCCCTGCCCCTGCCCCTGTCCCATCATTTCTGGCTCTCACTTTGGGTTTTGATCAACTTGACTTCTATCAGTGCATCTGCCTAGCAACCCTGGGCACATGGAGCAATGCTGATCATTCTCCTAGGATCTGGGGTGGGAAGAAGAGGAGGGCTGGGGGTGAGATTCAAAGGCAGTGGAGAATATGCTCCTTTGATAGGTAGAGGAGAGTGACAGTGTTCAGGAGAGAGGACTTTGACTCTAAAGTGTATGTGAGCTGGGGATAACTTGGCTTTAGACCACCAGTTGGTTTGAGAATGGCGCCATCTTGAAGCTAGCTGTCCTGAGGCTGGAACCTGGGTGTGTGGGGACTTCCCCTCTTGGCAATTGGTAAGTGAGCTTCTTTCCTTAGGGGGCTAGGGTTTGTGTTTTCTGTGGCTTGGAGCCTTGGAGGTCTGCCAACATAATAGTGGAGGTGCTAAACAGTCTTCATAGATCTGTGTTGTAGTGACATCCACTACAATTATGTTCACCTGTGTGTGTGKGGGGGAGAACTTCCACAAATACCATCTTCCACCAGCTCACTAATATCAGAAATTCCTCATGATAAGGGAAAAACTTTAAGACTTGAAATGCAAATTCCCATGGGAGATAGTAATTCTTATTATAGTGAAAATGATTGATAGCAGGCCTTTTAATGTCTTTCCCACAGACACCTGTTCTGTTAGAAGGAACAACTGCTCAGTTATAGGTCCTAGCTGGGCAAGGAGCACCCAGAGGCCATGAAGCTAGACATCTGGGACTTCTAGGATGGAGTCACCTGGCTRTGAGGCCGTGTCAGAGCTAGGAGAGTCTGTAACAAATATCAGGAGCTTGAGTTGAGGGTGGACAGATTGTGGAACAGAACAGTGAACACAAGGAGAAGAGAAATTGCATAGGAGTCAGGACTGAGAACTGCCAGGAGGGGTGGGCTGTGGCAGGGGAGGGCTTTTTTTTTAGTTCTTAGGGGCATGTACTGGGGCAGAGAGTGAACCACACTGAGGGCCCATGCAGGCACGATTATGTTATGTTATGGGGAACTAGAAATAAACTCGTAGATATGGAGGGTGTTATGGGGAACTAGAGATAAACTCATGGGTATGGAGAATAGAATGGTGAGGGAAGAACTGGGGCTGAGGAGAGTAGGAAATTGTTGTCCAATGGGTCTTWATTTTCATTTAAGCAAAGGGAATAGTTCTGGAGATCTGATGTCCAACATTATGCCTGTAGTTTACAATGTGGGATTCTGCACTTGATGTTTCAAATTTATTTTTTATTGGTCTATTATAATTATATGAAATAGGGGGATTCATTAGGCTACATTCATACATGCACTTTACATAATTTGATTGCTCTCATTCCCCAGTTTCTTCCCTTTCTCTCCCCTCCTTCCCCTGATACTACCTTTGTGCACTTTAAAATAAGAGGATAGCTCTTCACCGATAGTACCCTTTTTGGGACCCCTCCCATGCTGTGAGAGCTTTCCTTGATTGCTTCTGATAAATCTGCTACTGAGTTCTCAAAAAGAAAAGGAGAGCTCTTATGTTGATTTTTTTAAAATCACAAAACCCAAGCAGCCAAATAAATAGAAAACAGAAGAACATAAGGACATTTTTGAAGGAGATGGTTGTGTTTAGTACTTTGGTTGCTGTAGTAGTGTAGGAGGCATATTCGTATGATCAGAATCACCAGAATGCAGACTTTAAATGTGTGCAATTATTTTGTATACCAGCTATACCTCAATAAAGCTTAAAAAGTGGGGAAGAGGGGCTAGGACAGGGGCTGGATTTAGACATTTCTTGATTTCTCTTAAACAAACTTAAGAATTCTTAAAAACTTAAGCTCCTGTGAATAGCACTAGGTCCGACCTCAACAATATTCAAGAACTAAGTATCTCTAGTTCCCATTTATCCCAGCAAAAAAGTTATCTTGACAGTGGCAGTTCTAGAACTTTTGTGTATGAAGGGCTCTGAGGCAGTAATCTAGCTCAGTGGTATTCAAAGTGGAATCCCCAGGAATTTATTAGAAAGGCACGTTCCCAGGTCCATCCCAGATCTGCTGGGTCAAAAACCCTTGGAGTGGATCCCAAGGGTTTTAGGAAGGTGCATCAGTGGTCATGGTTCCCATGAAAGCTTGAGACTCTGGCAGGGGAGCTGGGCAGAGGCCAGGATGAAGTGTTCTAGTTTAGTTTACATATTGCAGAATAATACAATTAACAGTTTTCTAGAGCACAYATGAAGTCACTTATATGTAAGATGAAGCCAAAGTCAATTGTCCTTATCCAAGAACAGTGTGCTATCACAGATATTGTTTTATTGGCAGAGTTTTGAGGGGCTGATGGAGACTGTTGGGAGGGGTCTAACTGTCCCCGCATCCCACCTCTTGGAGCTGGACATGCTCCATACCATCTCTTGGATCAAATCCTTTTTTTATTTTTAAGTCATCTCCTACCTTGTCCTGTTGTAAGAGCTTGGCTAGCCACAGCTCCTTACCTGACCTGGGCCATCATCCTTATATGTTGGTTTTTATCAGGACTCCTTTGTGT